GTATGTATGTATGTTTGAAATACTATATTGTGACGCATACTTGGTTTGAAGCAACCATCTTGGTTTTATTTCCCCACATTGTGAAATAAGGTTGTGCGAATAAATCTAAAGATGAGACCATGATAATTCTATTCAAGAACCGTTTCATTGCGTGCTCTGAGGCTTTTTGCACGAATTCTGTTGCCTATCCTTCTTACACTGTTGTACAATGCCTAGTAAGGCGAGATTGAGAAATGATGTAAAAAAAGTTGCTTCAGTGTACTTTACGTGTTCCGACACCGTGTCTCACAAAAGCTTCGCGAGGTGGGCACATTTAGCACACTCTTCCGAGATCCCACGCGTGTGCCCTACAGGACAGGTAGATGCCACGACTCACCTGTCACCGCGAAAACAGTTGCAATCAACAGGGTGAAGAGCACCACGCTGACGATCACCAGCGCACCATACAAAAATGTGCTCACAAACGGCTGCTCTCTGAAAGGTGGAAAAAAAAAGATCAAGCATTTTCAAGCAGACAATAAATATGAGCGAAAGATGGGAACTGCAACAAGACATCACTCATAAGCAACAGTGAAAACGCGCGTGTGATTAGAAAGTCTGAGGATTCATGTCATAAGATTACAATGCTTGCGAACCAAGTAGCCAGTACGAATTCGCTGTAGTGGCTGGGCGGATACCTCGACCTGCTGTTGGTGATGATTGATTGATATATGGCGTTTAACATCCCAAAACCATGATTTCATTTTGCGAGACGCCGAAGTGGAGGGATATAAATATTTCTACCTCCTGGGGTTCTTTAACATGCACCTATGTCTGAGCACATGGGCCTACAGCAGTTTCGCCTCCATAGATAATGTAGAAGCTGCAACCGGGATTCGACCCGCGAGCTGCAGGTCAGAAGCTGAGTACCTTTGCCACTGCACCATCATGGCTGGGCTGTCTTGCTGTTGAGCAGAAGCGGGCTCTGAACGGCTATTCTAGGCCTCACGTCATAAAAACTAAACACCAAAGACTTAAAAAAAATTGGGGCAGCTATGCACCAATAGTGTGAATACTGAGAAAAGAGTGGAAATGGTGGATTTCCCTTCCTCCTTTCTTTACCCCTCAACTTTACTTCCTTTCCAACTTTTTGCTATTCTATACATTGCTGCGCTCCTAACCATTCTATAGATGGCTATGCAATCATTTGGGCTCTTCAATCCTCGTTTTTCACGTCTCCCTTACATCAGTCATGTCCCTTACTTCCCTTTCACAGTCCCTTGCTACACTAAACCCTACGAGGATCTTATTCGTTGTACCTTCATCCTCTTTTCCACCTTTTTACCTACTTTAGTATACACGGCCATTCTATCCTTTACCATCTTCCCATCTTCCTCACCCTTACATCACCCTCCTCATTCTCAGTTCACCCTCAGTTCATCTTCCCATCTCCTTCCCATACTTGACCATTCTACAGGACACTGTGCCGTGCTGTAACACCCTCCTCCATGTTACTTTCCTTCTCACCCTAACCTCTCATCTCTACCCCTCAATGCGAGATTCTATGCACGGCGCTGCTATTCTTGGAGCTTGTTTAATTAGTTGTTTTGCGAACACAAAGCATATGAGGGCCAGCTCAAACACTTCCGGGATAAAACGCTGGCCCGCTTAACTAGACACAGTGTACCTCAAATTTCTCAAAGTTAGGTGATGGCCCTCCATTCAGGGACGCCTCTTATGACCATATTGTGGCTTTGGAATGTTCAATCACTTAAGTCAATCAAACTTATAGTTAATAAGAAATAGAGGTACAAGTACCAATAGCACGTGTATGCAGCCTTAGTATTCCAGCGTCCGACTTTGTTCCTGCGTTCAATATAATGCCATTGATGACTTAGATGTCAATTGAAAAGTGACCATTCTGTGACATAAACGATACTGATACTCAGTTGTGGCTGCGTTTGCCACTGAGGTGCATGGCGAGTTGGTGGTAAATGTTCCGGAATGAAAACGTGAAACATGTCTCGAACGTGGAGTGAGCTGTGACGCAGAATGCTGCGCTGACTACATAGGGTGCCTTGTGCGTTTGAGTGTGTACTCTAGCAATACTTCAGGGCTTTCACAGATTCCTTCTGACATGACTATTCGTGAAGCTATTGTTTCAACATTTAGATGCGAAGCAGCTTATGGGTATGTCGGAGTTCAATCTGGTGGTGTGAGGCGTGAACACCCTTATTGAGCATACAAAACAGCTTGCCCAAGCACTGCCAGAACACGCTCAGCACGAACGCGCTCAGGCCTGCGTAAGTGCCTGGGTAAAAGGCTGTGTCCGGTCGCTCTTACGCCCTCTCAGCAATCACGTGATGGCGTGGGGTAACGAGATTCGGCAGACGTGCGATAAACCCGTGTTGCGTGCTCCAACAAGAGTTCGAGACGAGTAACAGCAACATAAACTACAGTGAATTCATGGTGTGCCCCAGATGCAAGAACGCGCTAACATCGAGCAAGCTGCCAGTGATCAAGGGAACTTCAAGTCGATCCATGCACTCACTGCTTTGCACGCTAGTCATGGTTCCCTCTAGTGAGAGATGGTGCAATTTTCTTTTCTTCTTCCGTTTGTCCCGTGGGTGACCCTTGGTTGATTGTGAGAGAGCTTAGCTTCTTGGTTAGTAGTCATTTTGAAAGAAAGGGCGTACAAGTTGATTGATGGTTTCGCCAATCGCCTGGGCACGCGCAGATAAGTTATCACACAATCTTTCTTCGCCGTCGTTGTACACCTTTGCAGCTGTTACTCAGCTTTTGAAGTATTCTGATTTCATTTTCGAGCCCGTGTTTGAAATCTCAGCTTTTTTTAATTTGTTTTATTTGTGTGTCAGATTTTCTTCTCTGTTTAATTGTACAAGAAAGAAAAAAAAATTTGAAAAAAAAAACGCCTGTGATACTCACTGCTGGCCGTAAGTTGGCGCTGGAAATAAGAGAACACAATAAGAGAATATGAGGTAAAGATCTCTATATTGCTTGCTCGCAGGGGCGGCACGAGCGCGGGCCATGGGGGTAGCTAGGGCATCCCTAACATTTTCGCCCAGCCCTCCCTTGTTCACATAAGAACAAACTTCATCATAGCACAACGCATTAATTGACGCCTCTCTGCCTCCTGAAGGAGCCCGCATAACGTGGGTGCCACTTTGCCCTCCCCCCAAACATTTCCTGGTGCCGCCCCTGCTTGCATGGCATAAGAAAACAGAAACACTCGAAGTGTTCGCTAGACCGTAATGTCATGAACTTTACAGACAAAAATTGTTTTCATTGTCTTCAAGTTACCCCAATTTTAATGTGCCTCATCATTTGCCGTTAAGACGTTGAATGGCCGTTACACAGATCTCGTTAAAAATTATGATCAACCACTGGTTTTTGTAGAAGTGAAAGCAGCTAAAGAAACTCAATCATTCATTTCTCTTCCTATCATGTTATTCCGGCTATCCCAAACACTTTATTTCATTTGGCAATTACTGGGAGAAATTGCCTTTTAGTTTATATTAGCGCTGTAATTCCCAAAAGCCTAATATCGTAAAACAGTTGTCAAAATGGTCGGTCAGCTTCGGTATTGACATATCCCTCACCGTGATTGGCTGAAATGTCTGTATATTTTGTCTTGTTTATTAATAGGTGTTAAGCTGACAACTTGCCCATGTGTCAGAGCTTCCACAAGGCAGCGAGAATTGCCGCAGCGTTGCTCCCTTATGAGCACTGAAGTCTTTCCATTTGCCGCTCGTAGTAAAAATGTAACCATTATCATCTTTTATTATGCATTCGACCAGTCGCCAGATAAACGCCGCACGCAGTCGCTGCGATACATTGGAGAGGAGCTGTGTGTCAGAGCTTCCTGTCTTGTACGCGCAATTGTGCAAACCTCAATCAAGCTTTGCAGCGCTATTTCTTTGAGCACAGACACGCTTCTTGCGAGCGGAAGAGTGTAGAAATAGGACTGCCTTCAACTTTTCAATGCAAACATGAATACTTGCTGCAGTATCTGAAAAGCACTATAAATGTTAGGTGTCTCACAGCAATAATGATTGCCTCACTTTTTTGTTCAACCGACATATAACACATCAGCAAAGGTACGTACCTCTCAGTGGTGAATTTTGAGATAACCATTGAGCAATATCTTAAGGACAGGTATTACGCTAGTAAATGTAGATGGCAGCTTACCATGGACCACACGGTAGCGCCCCAAGAAAGGACGATTGTAGGGTTGAATCAGGGGAGGACGGGGCATCACCGGAGGAGGGGGAGGAGGATAGTAGGAAGGGGCGTAGTAGCCATGCATCGGTGCAGGGTAGGTCTGCATCGGTGGAGGCCCGTAGTAGCCCCGCGTCGGTGGAAGGGGCCTGTAGTAGGACAGGCCGTACGGACTCACCGGGGGAGGAGGTGAAAGGTAGTCCGCGAATCCACTCTCATCTTGCGAAGGAAGCCACGCAGTAAGATGGTAAGTTGGGCCAGTTGGTTAGGATCCATCGTGAACTTACTTACAGCGCAACACCAGAAAAAATACAGGACAGGGAAGGGATCTTTTCTTTCTCTTTTACTCCTTCCCTGTCCTGTATTTTTTCTGGTGTTGCGCTGTAAGTTCACGATGGAAGCCATGCCACTGACAGTTAAGACTGAGTGGTCGACTAAGCGAGTTGGAATAGATGCGTATCACGTTGACACGGCAATGACACGGAGTACAACAAAACAGAGCTGTAGGAAGATTGTACCGAAAACTTTGAGTCTTAGAGCAATGAAACGATGCATGAACAAAGTAAGACACGAGCAGAGCCCAAATGATAAGTGATAAACAGCTTCTTATTGCGAAAACAGTATATGCCCAATAAAGCGCCGTCTCCGGTGTCGGTCTCGAAAGCGGTGTTACCACCCGATGGCACGAAAATTCACGTGATCAAGCTTTGACAAATCTATTGAACCCAGTGCTACTGAAACACATACCACCAATACAGTGAAAATGGGCCTTCCTTGAACTTATCGAATGTCCATCAGTGGAGTTGATGCGAATAATTTCGTGGCGACTTGCTTTATTATAGGTTAATAAAAATGGTCGCATGCCTCACAAATGTCTTATCGTGAATTTACTGTCCTCTATGTGTAGACAGTTTCTGCGTACGTAACGTATACCGACTTCACTGTGCACAACGATTAGTTCATCCACACTAAGACTGGGCAATCATGCTACTTCTCGGTTTATCTCATCAATGGCTCTGATTCAATTACTGCGATATTCTTTGTCTAAAAGTGCCAATATGAAAAAGAACGCTTACCTGGCAAAGGTTTGTCGGGTGGATGAGGTCCTGAAAAATAAATTGCAATAGCAGAGCAGAATGATGAACACAAGCAGCTTAAGTTCCCACAAGATGTCTCTATTACAAATTGCATAATAGTTTGTGGAGTTCAGGCAGCTCGAGAGTCTGTGCACAGGTGTTAGGCAAGCGTTTTTGAAAAGCTCATCAAAGATTGAAACAGAAAGAAAAGGAGGGAAATTTTTTTAAAAAGAGACTTAGTTTTTTTTTGGAGCCAGACCCACCAAAAAAAACAACTTCTTCAAAACAACGATAGTTTTGAAAGACGCTTTCGGGTTCAGCAAAAAAATAAGGAGTAGCGACAAAACTGCAGCGCCACTTTGTTGGAGCATAAAAATTGCAGCGTAGTATTCATAACGATCACAGCGAGAAGTTTTGTTTAGCTGAGAGAGAAAATGGTGATCGCAAACTAAAAATAACCAACAAGTATTTACAGCAAATCTTTGACACCGTGAAGAAGTGAACATTCATGATCTCATTGAGCCACATCTTGATTTGCCATCATCTGCTGCATAGATACTATTGTATATTTCATTTATGCCGTATGCCTTAGATACACAACGTTGCGCCTGCAAAAATTGTAACAGTACTTACGAAGAGAAGCCTGGTACTCTTCGCTAAATTCCGCTGAAAGCATAAAAAGAACGCTGAAAGTATATCGTTCTGAGCCGCTAAAGCTGCACAATCTGCGAACATTTAGTATCCGAGTTCACTGGAAGCCTTACTGATGGGCATTCGTGAACATTTTCGCATTAAAGACCGTCCAGAAGGCTGAAAGGCTGTCCACAGTATAATAAAATTACAAATAATTGCGATACGTCTCACATAAAGATTCACACACTGCGGGCTTATGTGCCGCAGAGCAACGATGGATGAAATGAAATCAAGCATAAAGAATGGAAAAGCGACAGGCTTCGTCAACCAGCAAAATACCGGGTGACAATAACAGATAGAGCTGGCAGTGGGGCCATGTTTCGTGAGTCTCGAGGCAAGTCCAAACCCTTCCCACAATCTTCTTATTCATATTTATAAAATAAGGACCTCCAGCTTCAAGACAGGGATGTCGTTGGGTGAACTTGAAAACGTGCTAGAGTTCACGTCGGAAGTAACCAAAAGTAGCCATGTCCCATAATATTATCGTCAAATTTTTAGCCAAGTAGAACAGGAGTGGCGTTTTGAACAGAGGGTTTACTATTGATGAATAAATAAATCTAGGTCGAATAAGTAAAAGCCGAAGTTTAAATGTAGAAACAAAATAGCCATGGCACCAAGGGAAAGTTTTCATTCTCCAAACTGGCAGAAAAGCCGCCAGTTTGGAGTAGCCACCAACGGAGATACCAACAAATGTGCAGTATTTAAAACATATGCATGATAATAGAAATGGTGAGTGTGATTGCGGACATTCGCGGCTTGGTTGTTCTTGTATTGCCTGCTCGAGCTTTCCGTCGAGCATGGTATCTCACCAAGACAATGAAAGCTTCATAGTTATTACACTGAGCTGACGAAGTGTTAACAAGATTGCATGAATATGAAAGTTGCTTCAAGGTGCATTCACAGGGCGAAATTTGGGGAAACAATTTAAAAATTGGCGGTACACAAGGGCAAAAAAGGACAGCTGAGCTGCAATCTTTCCTGCGGCTTGCGCTTGATTGGATTCAGTGTTGTTTACTCTCATTTTGTAAACACGAACCACATAGCCCACGCATCAACCCTATCAGCCACACAGCAGGAAGTTTAAATCAATGGATACTTGCCCATCGTTCTCTCTCAACCAGTTAGTTGGGTGGCCCTCGAATGCCTGACGCCTAACAAATGATGATGATAATGGCCTTTTGTGGATGGCGCTCACCCACAGAGGGGGACGAGCCAAGAACCGGGCGGCAGGATACTTAAATGAAACTAAAATAAAAGTGAAGCCAATCTGAAAGAGTAGTTTAAAAATAATACTACCAAAAAAATGCTTGTTGAGCAAGCGGTCAAACCATCGGTTGTTTTTGATAGACATAACTACGAATTATAAACTAAAGATCTGAAAAAGGTTGGGGTTCACTAGCACAGTAATCTTTTAGTTGCGTTGATGTAATCAAACACAGTGGAGCATACATCCCTGTGGCAGTAACCAAATGAAGTACCGCCAAGTGATAAAATTACTCGTAGATTTATTTGTATTCCTAGCTTTTGTAATGGGGCTACTAAGAATCTTTTTCTCTGATAAGAATAACGATGGCAGAATAAAAAGAAATGTTCAATTGTTTCAATTTCGTTGCACCGAATGCATATCGGTGACGCCTTGAGTCGAGCTTTGTTAAGGTAATAATTTAGTTGTGGAACTGCACAGCGCAATCTGGTATAAGTGACCTCTAACTGGCGAGATACACACCACTGTTTATTCCAGCAATAGCTCAAATGCTCGAAATCTTTGAATTTATCCAAATTACCTTTTCCCCATTGCAGGCAAGCATTTCGGAACCTTAGCGCTGTCACGTAAGCCGTATCTGGCAAAACTGGGATGGTGGGCCCACCCAAGGATACTGCTGCTAAAGAGTCCGCCATTTCGTTCAAATATAATCCGCGGTGGCCCGGTACCCATAGCAAATGCAGTTTTTTCACGTTTTTTGGTACTAAATGCCGAAACGTTTTCATCAGCTCTACATTTACTGCCGCACACTGTAAGCAAAAACTATCCGAGTTTACGGTTTTTGCGGCTCATGACCTCTGAAAACTTCCTTGGGTTTAAAATTACTACCTCACATGAGAGTAAAAGGCGGTCGTGACATATTTTCACTACCATCTCTCAGAGAGGTAGTAAAACGATGTCACTATCCAATTTTACTCCTTAGGGAGTTTTGTGTCACGTGATTAAAAACTCCCCATGCAGACTAACATGGCGGATGACCGGAGGTCGGACGCCCGTCATCAGACCACAGGTTCGCGCGAGTATACAAGCACATGGCTGTATATATATATGTGTATGTGTGTTCTGTGGATACGCCTCGAGGAGCCAGGGCTAGAATTTGTGCCGACACGCATACGCTCGCTTGCGCTGGCGTACACATCAACCAGGCGCATCGCTAGATGCCGCGACACCTCCGGCGGCTATGCCTACTGGCCTAATGGAGCACGGAAACTACGCGTTGCAAACGTTCCTGAGTGACCGCTTCGTCAACCGGTGCGAGAACGACCAATACCACCTAGACCACGTGGTGTTGGGACGACACAGCAAACGACTACGTGTGATACCAGTGCGACTTGGTTTCGACGTCTCAAGTGGTGCGACAAATTCAGCGAATATTTACGGAAATCATCCGGTGTGACTGTATATTCGGCCGAGTCAAAACGTCGCACATACGACTATTGCTGCTCTTGTGCTGTTAGGTTGTGCTCTAAACTAGTAGAAACGTGCTTCTAAAGTTTGGAGAATAAGCTACCGTGAAATGAAGTGACGTCTGTGTAAACCGTAAGCCTAGCGCTGCTATCGAGTTCGTGCAAGAGTGAGTGAGCGAGCGAGCATGTGAGAAACACTTGACAGAAAGAAGTCGGCGTTAGGTGTTTTCGTCGCAGTGTAAGCTCTATCTATATAACGCATCACTTGGTGTGCTGCAAGTATTGAACCGCCGAGTGTCGGTTTTCGACATCAATTAACGCTATCATCATTGCCAAAGACGGGCAGGATTCGCGAGCATGTTTTGGCGATCTGTGAACACATAATGTGACAGGACTTGAACAGTTCATGACATTTACACATTGGTTTGACTCTAGCAAGTTCCTCGCATGTGGTGTTAGCCATCCAGTGTTCCTAAACATTGCCCAGCTGTCTTTGGTGTCAGTGGCTTTAGTTTATCAAATACTCTCTGAAACTTGCTAAAAAGGCAAGCCTGTCATCTGCAGCCCTCAAGCAGATCTCACCGGACCTTTTGCATTTGTCATATGCTAACCGAATTCATGTTTACACGGACGGTTCGGTCTCGGGAAGTTCGACAGGTGCCTTTGTCATACCATCTCGATCAATCACTGTCAAATTTAAGACATCACACGTCACGACATCTACGGGATCCGAGCTCGCCGCTCTTCGAGCTGCCGTGGAGTTTGTTACGCAAGAATCCCCTAGTAGATGGGCCATTTTCTGTGACTCCAAGGCAGTCCTTCAATGCGCGCGAAATCTACGACGTGGAAACTACCACCAGATGGTGTATTGTATTAATGAAATTTGTCATCGCGCTGCTGATCAAGGACACGACATTGTTTTACAATGGTTGCCAGGCCACTGTGGCATCAGTGGTAACCACCTCGCCAACGACGCTGCCCGATGTGCCCACGATGGAGCGCCCACACTGTTAATACCCTTGTCAAGAGTAGACGCAGCTAAAGAACTTCGTCACATCGCGCATATTGCCACGCTTGCGCACTGGAATTCTCCCCCTAACTCCAATCAACGCCTTAAGAATCTGAAGTCATTACTTCAGAAACAACTGCCATCCAAGATTTCTCGACGTGACGCTACAATGCTGTGCCGGTTGTGGACTGGGGTAGCATTTACTAAGTCATTCAGCCATCACATCGGCATGGCGGATTCATCCATGTGTGAAAGCTGCAACTGTATAGAGACTATTGAACATCTCTTGTGCCACTGTGGCCAATTTGATGAAGATCGCCGGACTCTCCAGTGTGCCTTGAATAGACTCGATGACCAGCCATTTAATCAAGCAAAGATCTTAGGAGCCTGGTCGCGCACCACATCAGCACAGAAAGCTTTTCGAGCCCTCCTGGGATACTTGTCAACAACTTCATTGAGGGACCGCTTGTGAAACTTGGCATTGTGTGTGTGATGTGACATGTGTCTATCTTTCTCTCTCTCTCTTTTACTCCCTTCTCCCCCTCTCCGTGTGTAGGGTAGCAAACTGAACGCATAGTCTAGTTAACCTCCCTACCTTTCCTACATCCCTCTCTCTCTCTCTCTCTCTCTCTCTCTGAAACTTGACTGAATTTGCTAA